ACTGCAACCCTCAACCACCAGGAAAAAGACCTACGGTCTTAAGGACCCATTCACAATCACAATCGCGATTTTGACGTCTTAAATAAACATCATTTCACCGTAAGTCGAAATGCGCACGACACCTCAAGTCTATGGATCAAATCACGGTAAGCAAAAAAGCGAGAGTTATAGCGTGGGGCATCGTGCAGTGCGTTTGCTGTAATCGGATCAAGCAATCGAGCGCAATTAATGCGTCGCAATTTTAACCTGTACGCGTGCAGTCTAACGTCTGTGCGCGGTCTAGAAATTCACTGTGTTCGGGCTTGTATAACGAAACGAAGTATACATCAGGAGCCTAGTAAACTAAAGTATCTGGGCCGCAAACCGAGTGGGTGATAACCTAGAGCCTCAAAATTTAATGCTATAAAATTGTTGACACAATGCCTGACTACTAGGATCATGCCATGTGTTTTCCAAGTCACACTTCGAGTCACAGTTATGACCTAAAGCCCGAGGTCATGATCTTGGCAGTTGGAACACCAAAGTCACCAATTTCGTAGTTGGTGACTTACCATCAGGATCGTGGCATGTGGTCTCCAGATCATATTCACGGTTCCAATCGTGACATGCAAGCCGTAGGTATAATCGTGGCAGTTCGAGGACCATAATCACCAATCTGCTAGTTGGTGACTTACTTCTAGCGTCTAGGATCGTGTCATGTAGTCTCCAGATCAGAATCACGATCCCAATTTTAACCTCGAAGCCCTAGGCATGTAGTCTTGGCAGCTAAAAAACCCAAATCACGAATCTGGTAGTTGGTGAATTTGGGTCAATTAAACAAAAACAATCTTCAATACTAAGTGCAAACAAAGGTATGACCAATAAGACAGTAGCAAAAAAGACAGAGAAATTTAAAAAAAGAAGCTGAAGAGGAACCTATCACGCAGTATACTCATATAGTGAATTGGAGGCTTTGGTACATCACAAATTCAATGGACGGAAGAACCATGGACGAAGGAGAAAGATGTGGTTGGACGGCGAGGTGTCAGAACTCAGAAGCAAGAAACCGGAGGAGAGAGCAATGCTAGACGCATGGTGAAGCACATAAGATGAGAGCGCAGAAAGAATTGATTAAGACGTGGGAGCAATTTAGGGAGAAAAATACCACATTATCGGCGGTAGTGCAGAAAAAGTTGAAAACTGCCGGCCGGCAACTGCGGGAGGAACTGCGAAGCAGCAGCAGAGACGTGCCAAGGAAGTTCTGGCAACATGTAAGAAGAGAGGTGAGATGGGCGGAGCCAAGTTCAACGACAATAAAAGAATCATACTGTCGATTATGCCTAAAAAACGAAGAAAAAATACGAATGGCACACAGGACACGGCGTAGCTTTCAGCTAAAATTTATTAGGATACACATATAAAAATTGTAAAAACTTCACATGCGCAAAGAGGATACACTTAGATTTAAACTCGACGAAGCCGGATGACACTAGTGAATAACAGAGGCTTGTCTGAGGAAGGAATGTTCCTTTCGGAAAGTGATATGGAAGGGGCGCTGACTCAGTGGTCGGGTATTTCACGTTCTGGCTTTGTTTTAAAGCTCCCCACAATCTTAACTTTATGGAAATCTGGGTGACATTCACATCTATCAAAATGTACAAAGTTTCCTGAGGGTGCCATAGGGGTGATATATGAAATTGCTTCGTCATGCGGGAGGGTGTACGTGGGCTAGACGGGGAGGTGCGTCAATGATAGAATTAGAGAGCACTCAGCTGCCATTAGGAAATCCACGAATGCCACCGAGGTTTTCAAGGAACTAGGATTGTGAGGAGTTTTAAAACAAAACGAGGACGTGAAATACGAGAAACCTTCATAATTAAATCACATGGTCTACCGTCTGCGTCAGCGCTCCTTCTATATCATATTCTGGTGTGGAACATGCGTTTATCAGTTAAGCCTCTATCATTCACGAAAGTCGTCCGGCTTCTTCGAATTTTTGACCTAAGTATATCCTCTTTGCGCATGTGCAGTTGTTTTACGATTGTTATATATGTATTCTAATAAATTTACGTTGGACGTTACGCCCTCTCCCGTGTGCTACTCATCTTTATGTCCTCGTTTTTTAGGCGTAACCCTACTGTATAAATCGTCCCCAACTAGCCCAACCCGCAATCCTAAGACAAAATAAGATGCCATGAATGGAGCGGTCCTGACTGCAGAAGGATGCATTAAGCATATTACTATACCGATAGCGGAGGTCTTCGGGGAACGAAATGCCGAGAGCCGGAGTGACCTATAGAATGACAGTATCGAAAACATCACACAGCGTCGCATAATATATGCCATGCCGAATCGAATGGGGCCTTTTAACGAACAAATGGTGCACACTGGAACGAGGTTGGAGACATCCCAGCAAACCTGCCGAAAGGAATAGCACAAATATTCACGGCTAGACTCCAAGAGGCGCTATCCTGCGTGATTACCACAGGAGAGATACCAAAGGGCTGCAGGAGATCTTGGGTCAGAATGATATACAAGAGAAAAGGAGATAAGATGATCCTGAAAACCATCGCCCGATAACCATGACCCCAGTTCTCTATCGAATCTTCATGCATGTTAAAAGAGAAAGGATACAGAGTTGGACAGAAAATAAGGGAATTTTATAGGGTGACTCCAGAATGGGTTCCGGAAAGGAATGCGAGTACAAGACAACAGTTCGTGCTTACGCGAGCCATAGCGATCGCAAACTAAGAGCGCCAACCATTGTACTAGGGCTTCTTGGACATCGCCAAGACTTACCACCCGGTTGACCATAAACTAGCGTAAATACTGGGGGAACGCCTACCCCACCTTTACTGAAAACTGGGTTAATCTAAACATGGGTGCTGTCCTGTCAAATCGGGCCCTTAGCGCATAATTTGCATAATTTCCAAGTTTTGGAGACTTTAATAGTCGGCGCTTGAATCAAGTGGGCGCTTCCGCGGTATTTTACGTCCAATAAATCTTGCCTTCAGCAGCTTGGAATTCCGGTGGAGTTGAGGGACATAATGCAAGAGATCTACAGAGACAACAGTGTTGTGGTGCAGTGGGGTGATAGATACACTAACCTGATGGGTACTTAGGCAGGGCTCCCCTCACTCTAAAAAAAGGATGTAGCCCTTACACCCATTGTCACATATACGAAACCTTAAAACTTCAGTTCGCCGTACAGCACACGCACTGACATCAAGCTGACGGCCCCAACTTTTACGATAGGCTTGATGACGGTGCGATATAAGATATTAAACAGCTAAAGTACGCATCAAAGAGTACAAAAAGAAAACACCGAGGTTTTGCAGTAAGGCCAAGAAAACGCCGATAGGTTTTTTTACAGTTAGTTACACTTACGTAAGCTATTTTAATAAGTTGTACAAATCGGTTATCAAGCCGCTCGCGAAAGTTGGTAGCGTCCGTTGAACGTCAGAGCGATGTACGCCCAACTGAAGTTTATAGGTGTCGGATATGTGACAAGGGGTGTAAGGGCTACACCCCCTTTTTTTAGTGTGCTCTCTCTCCTTTGTTGTTTACGTTATATATTGCAAGGATCTAAAGAGCATTGGAAGACAGTGGAGGAGGTTTTTGGATGAACTACAGTGAGGAAGGGCGACAGATGGTACAAAGGACTCCCACCTTAATGTCTGCAGAGGACATAGTGTTTCAGGTTTTAATAATTTAATTATCTAGATCCAGTTTTCTAGACTGATCGCCTGACACAAGAAGTTCGGCCGCCATAATCCAATCAAGTCAAGTATCACGATCGAATAATCCGGGGCAGTATCGTGGTACAAGAGTATCGCGATGGTGTCTTAACGGTACCTTTCTGTATCTGTATTTCGGTTGAGATGCATTTGGAAATAGTAGTTGTGTTTCAGTAGCGAAAACAGTTATGATGTATCGCCTAATCGCAGTACACTGACAGGCTTAGGTATCTCGTTACATTTATTGTCTAAAATTATCGGTCAGGTCTTTATCATACCCTGAAAACCATGTTTTTGTCACAAGGGGTCTGAAACTTTATAGTATAAACCCGTCACACGACCCTCCCACGGGGGGGAGTCTGGTTGCCTGGAATCTCGCAGGCAATTGCGAAAATAATAATACAAAGGTGGTTTGAGGAACGGTCACTTGTAAGGATAGCAGGATAAGCTCCACTCGCGAAGCCCTCCACTTTTTCCACTTTAGCAACATAGGCGAGTGGCGAGAAGGAAACCTCGAATAATCAGTAAAAACACCTTGTGGGAAGGCCTTCTCCACCTAACATGTTGCAACAATTTCCGTGCAGAATAGGGTGCCATCGTGCAAACAGGTCCGGCTCCGTTGTCCCAAAATGCTGGTTCTGCGTTGTCCAATCTCACACACATCTTCACGGCAAAACAGCGGTCATTTAGGGAAGATGCCTTCTGTTAAACATGAAAAACAGTCGCCTGCATTCATGCAATAACTACATGGTTCACTACGTCAAGAATGTTTTAACGGCATTCGGACTGGTACCTGTAATAAATAATTTGAAATAAGGGAAGGTGTATGCACTAAAACGAAAGGACGATTACAAGCCCTTGTTAAACATTTATTGAATTTGTTTTGTATACGTGAAGTGTTTTTTTTTAAATTTTATTAATGAACTTTCCTGACTTTTCGAATATTTTTGCAACTACCATTTAATTCGCTACGAACCGCACCCTTCCAAACCTACCTACATTAAAAAACCTATATCTGTGTTTGCATTTGATGTTACTTTTTTTGCGTTTTTTTTTTTTTTTTTCAGAAGGATTTCAGGGGTATTTACTTCAGTATTGTATTTTATACTTGAAATGCATGTATCCTAGTATTTTTATGTCCGAATACTTTTTGGAGTATTCGAAGCCCAGCCCTGACTGTTATTTTTTCAGGTATACAGAACGCCAAGCGCAAGGGCCAAACACGTGTTTCATGTACCATGATTACAGCCTTTTTTTTTTTTTCTTTTTTTTTTTTAGATTAAGTTAAGCAACGCAGAGTCGGTGGAGCTGAGGGATCTGACTCCGGCCAGTTCGGGAGAGTACCGCTGCGAGGTGTCTTCCGGACCACCCAGCCTTCAAACCGTGACTGGAAGCGCACAGATGAGAGTCATCGATAGAGGCAAGCGGTGTAACACTTCTGGATCTTGTCACAGACCAGATAGGCTAGAGAGTCCAGATTGAAGGAGAAACTCAAACTATAAAAAGCGTTTGAAGTTTAAAAGGCGGACGTCTTCGGGCTGGTTTGGTCGTTATTTGAATGAAAGTTAACTCGCACAAGCCTCCATCTTAAAAAGGTCGCTAGTGTTCACGCGTCGCGTTGTCGCGTCGAGAGGACGAAAGAGGGCGAAAAGACAGCGGCACTTCCAGACGAACAACGCTTTCTTTCCCTCCTTTCAGCTCTCATTGGAAATGTGGCTCATAAGCTATTTGGCCCCCATCAAGCACTTGGGAACATTCTGTAACCTAGTCACATTAAGCCAGGCTGCCGCTTGCGGTGTATTGTTCCTCTGAATACGTCGAGCAAGTGTTCCATACTCGGGAGTTGTATTAAACCGTTCCCGCAGCCCGCTAAGCACCCGAATAGCGCTCCATAATCCGCCACAAGACCTCGAACTATGCAAACAAGGCTGGCGGCGCGCATCCGCAGCTGCGGCGTTTTCTTTACAGATACCGTATCTCAGGGGAAAAACGATTTACTACAACTCCCTAATGCGTCTCTCCCGCAACATATACACCTTTCCAAAAAAAAAATGCTCCTAGGCCCCCGCCATGTTGCTGACGCTGATGCGGCTGGTGCGACTCACGCGCCCCCTATGAGCTAGAAATTTTCCGCCACTGTCTTGTACTGTGGAAACCCGCTCCGCGCGATTCTCTACGAATACGTTTCGCTGTTTTGCATTCGACATTTTCTAGCCCTTCTTCAAAGTTTCCACTTAATTTTTCTGATGTATGCTGCGTACTCTTTCTGTGTTATCTTACACTGTGAGAAATAGGGCTGGTAAGTGCGTGCCATTCAAGCGTTTATGTTCGATATTCGCGAGAGAGAAAGGAGGGAAGGACGTCGAACGCCCTCGACGCGATTTTACGAGCAATGACAACTGTTCTGCTCCCTCCCAGAGATAACCCGCGTAGAGTCCTTCTCAGTCATAGCCAAAAAATAGTTCAGGTTGGAGTCAGTCGCGCCCGTTCCTCTCTTTACCTTGGTGCTGGTGTGAAAATAGGAAACTCTCCCCAAAACGTGCCTCAAAATGAAGTGATCTTGGATTCCGTTCGATTGTCGAAATGTGACTCTCGCCGACTGTGACTGTGTTATTTGAGATATTTTAGAGCGCAGTTCTTAGGCGTCCGCTTCCAGCCTGAGCGGCGTCGCCGTCGGCGTCCGCGTAACTGCGAGGTCACGGGACCGCCGTTAGGTCACGTGACCCCGGTGACGTCGCGTGACCCCCGTGAGGTCAAGTGACCCCGTCGCCGTCCGCGTAACCGTGAGGTCACGTGACCCCGGTGACGTCACGTGACCCCCGTGAGGTCAAGTGACCCCGGTGACGTCACGTGACCCCCGTGAGGTCACGAGGGTCACGTGACCTCACGGTTACGCGGACGGCGACGCCGACGCCGCTCGGAGGTACGAGCAGCAGGAAGGATGAGGACGTTAAGAGGAGGGACGAAGGATATGCCCTCCCCTCAGTACCCTTCCCTCCTCTTCCTCAAGAGCTGCGCTTTAATTCGGTGTTACACGGAATTGTAAACGGCTTTCATTTTTTCCAAATAAATTCTTTTCAGATAACGCTGCGTCGTGTTGTACGTACGATGTATTGTTCAAATGTTAGCAGTTGCTAAATTGTATGTCCGTGTCCCTGTCCACCGCTAAACACGTTACTTGTGAGCGTGAAAAATCCGTGCCTTTTGGCTATCTTCTGTTGCAAATTATTTTCGTCAGCTAAGCGCTTTGTCCTTTCACACGCGGCTAATCGGGCAACGCCGTCAAACCTAATCGTAAAAAAAAAAACACATCTAACATTCCAGTTGCATTCGTTCTGTCGCGCGCGGACCCAACAAAAATAGTTTTCAGTTTATTTTTGTTGCTTTTTGCTGTTTTTATTGCGGTATACAACATTTAAAAAATACATCGACCGTGGAACACAAAATACAGCAGGAAAAGACGAGAATGTAGCTGCTAGCAGTGCTTGAAACTGCGCCTATACGCGGGCTGCGTCGATTGAAATCACAGTCAACTCGGTTAGGATTAGCAGGGACGACGGTGAGAGTCTAGCCTCCAAACCATGTGGATGGGCTCAAAAATGGTTTGTTGGCCCTGGGGTATTGTGTTGCATGGAAAGGAGTATAGAGAACGCGTAGGAAACACGCGATGACGAGGCAGCCAAGCGCGCGCCACCTTTGTTTGAAATCGGGGGAAAACAAGCGCACCAGGTCCGCAAAGAGCAGACGAATTCGCAGGCCATAGAGAATTATTATATTAATACTGCGAAGGAAAATTAAAAACATTAAAACTTACAATGATTGTCGCACGGCATTAAGGCGAGCCTCTCTGTCTTCTATCACCTCTTAAAGCCGCCATGGCGTCGTTAGCAAGGGTCATCTGACACCACTAATGACGTCCCTTTTGCCTCGTGTCTTTCCTGTTCTCAGTGCGCAGATCTGGGCCAAGCTGCAGAGAAATTTTAATTGGAGTATACGTCGTGCTAGCAAAAGAGTCCGAAATTTTCCCATACATGGTTTTTGGGACAGATACATTTACTTTCAGGGCATATTTTTAACCTTTTAAACTCATTTAAATTTAACATGCATTCGGTGGTCATAAAATGCGTAATAAATTGTCATATTAATTTACTTTTAAATGAAGATGCGCCACAGACAACTTTTACTATGAGTAGTACATGCGCGAATAGCAGTGGGTCGTTCATAGCCTTGGCAATGCGGGCCTAAGCCACGAAGGCCGTTTCTTCTAGCAGTGCAGAAGCTAGGGATGAAACAGCGCTATTATATGCGAACCACTTTTCGCACACCCCTACTCATGATTTCTCAAGCATTGAGAATTTTTCATTCATTACTTCTAGATATCCAGGCCGCAGTGCTGAGTTTCCCACGTCACTAATCGGAGGCCATCCCGAGGAGTCAGATTGAAAAATAATGTGCTGCGTTCGGCGGGAACCCGTCTCGTGTTCAATCAGTGATGACACGAGTCCCGGCCGAATGCTGACGACGCACTCGTATACAATCTGTACGTTGGCCTTCTTTAGCTGACGTAGAATATATAGCACCCTGGCCTTGTCATCTGGGACGCGTCCTCTCCCCTCGCACCACCTAGAGATAATAGTTTTTTATCGTAGTCCTTGCTGTTGTTTCTGCGCTGTCAGGTGCGGCTGTAATTGCCGTCTTGCATAAATTTCCGTAGACATCCCCGAGAGCGATTGCGCTATCGGGGAGGGGACAGCAGCACACCGCAGACGACAGTCACATTGAACACAGTACAATAGGAGCTACGGTTCAGAGCAGTGTTCAAACATGACTATCCGCAAGTCGGTCGATGGCACCGTAATCCCTCAAGCAGTGTTAAACTCTTTAATGCAAAGCAAAAATGGCAACCTGCAGCAGTTTACGTCATCTCAACTTGCTGTTACACCACTTATACGCGAACACAAGGTCACATCGGCGACAATTCCAGTCTTGGTTAACAACGCTCACTGACACTGCCACCACGATGTTGCTATGTTGCTGACATGCGGAAATACAAAACCACGTTGATTGTCGGTTGGCACTCGACATCAGAAAACAGAACCAAACGCAGCACAGGAGACACGCATGCACCCGCAGCAAAACATTCCTGTCTAGGACGCAGTTTCCGCGGTTTACATAACGTCGACAACGTCGACACGTCGTTCCGTAATAAAGAGACGGCCATCTTAGCCCAGTGTACGTAGCCCTGCTAACACTGCAAGCTCTGACCGAATCTTCGCTGTTTTCAACGGATTCGCCTGCTCGTTTGACAAAATTAGCGATAAAAAACGTCAATGCAACCGATATGTTCTCGATGTTTCGACTCGGAAACGGAATTACAAGACGACCCTCGCGAAGAAGCTCAATCAACTCAACTATGCTTATCGAACGACGCGTCGAAAACCGAAACAAAAAAAAAAAAACAAAAAAAAATATGAAGCGGGAGGGCGGAGCTTTTCCTCGCGTCTGCTTGGGGGCGCGTCAGTAGAAGGGAAGAAAACGCGTCATTGCTACCTTTTTCCGCCTTTTTTTTTTTTCTCAGAGTGTAGAGCTGCTGCGAGAGTGAGTGAAGCCCTGTGCACTTGGTTTTCGCGCCGCAAAAAAAAAAAATCCCATTTTGAGTTCCACGTATTTCTTTCCTTGACTGTTTCCGTCGAAACCTAGACCTGAAAAAAGGCCTTGTCACGTTCTCCCAAGGGCCTTCGGAGCAGAGTGTCGTAGAGTTCCAGCATAGGCTCCCTACGGGAGCTAGAGTTGCGCGTTCACCCCCGGAGCGCCGGCTTTCCTGCACGGCATGCGGAGTCTGCTCCTCACATGACTGAATTCGGCGAATATCGGAACGTAAGCCGGGGCGCGCGCGACGTGTTCTTTCCTGCACGTTAGAGAAGATGATTTCGTTTTGAAGACAGGGACGTAGGAAGAACAGACACCACAGAGTGCTTGTCATTCCTGCACGACACCTGATCCGGCTCCTCACGTGATCGGATCTCGGCGAATAGCGGCGCGGCGGCACGTGGAAAACAGACGCGCAACTCTGGCTCTCTAGAGTGGCGTGAAGTGGCGCAATCTAGAACGCCATCTCTCAGCGACCAGCGGCGAACGCCCGTGGGTTCCAACTCCGCTCACAAATGCACGGGGAACGTGAGAAAACCGCTGTTTCTTGATTATTTTGGGAATGTACGGAAGGACAATAGTTTTTGACTTAATAAAGGAACAGTTTACAATAATTTGCGCTAACTTGTGTCCCATGTAATAACGCAATTTTTTTTTTTTAAGTTGCTTGAGCGGCATTATGCAGCAGACGACGCGGCGATGTCACACCGTTTACGTGACTCGCTCTGGCCAATCCCTAAAGTCCTTCTCCGCTGCGTAAAACAATCGTCTGCTTCAAATGCTATTCCCTTGGAAATTGCCTTCGCGAAATTTTCAGACGCATTCAATATAATAAAACATTGATAAAGTGTTTAGTGCTTTACCAGCTTTACGACAGACTAGTTTCGAAAAGTGTGAACTCGGCGTTTATTTTTTTAATTAAACCCAGCCTCCCAGAACCTTTTTTGTGTCTGAAATAAAAGACACATACAGACATACATACAACTAGCCGTGTTGCGTCGATCTCTCTGAGTACCACGTGACTCGCGCCGAGCTGCTCTGTCGGCCTTGTTGTCGGCGAAATACGCCGATCAAAGGATTGGGGTACTCTGCTTCATAGGAGCTATATAATGATCTAAGTTATACCAGACGGAAAAACAAGCAACCCTTATCCTGGACAGGCAAAAGCTATCGGCGACAAGGGTTACATGAGTCTTGGCGACCGACTTATCCTCAGCAGTCCTGCCTCTGCGCAAGGATATGTTCTTTTACCACCGACTGTCACATTATATTGCTCGATAATAAAAGAAAAAAAAACGAGACCAAAGAAGACGGACAACCAGACATACTGATTCAAAACACAGCTACTGATTTTATTTCACGCTCCAAGATTTATGAGAATGACCATACTCACCGAAGGTTTCCAACATCTTTTTGCAAAGAGGCAACTAACAGTAGGGACATACAACTGCCCCGGAATGACCCCAAATCCCGGGGCTCTTATATGTCCGTTTTCTTGTCTTTTTGTGAGGAGGTGAATTGGTGACATTAGATGAGGGTGGCGTCTGAAGTAAAATCTGTAGCTGCGATTTAGAACGGTCTCAGCGGCTGTCTTCTTATTTATTTTTATTATTATTCTTTTTTTATTACGGGGTAAGTTCAGCATTAAACGTTTGGTTGGGGCTAGTCGGTACATATCCATTAGAAGGTTAAAAGGCGTGTCGTCCAGTTTCAGTTCGCACCTTTAAACCTTTTAATTGTTAAGTTCACCAACTTGCCTGTGTTTTTGCCCTTCCATCGTCCATTATATTGCCTGGATTGCCATGCTATACAGATGACCAAGTTAAGGTATGGCTGAACAGAGAAGTCGTGTTGCGTACGATGCAGAAACGGCTGCGATAAACATGGGATCCCTGGTACTGCTCAGCGTGGATGTCCCGCAGGCTGCGTTGGTGGGAGGCAGCGCGAAGCTGGAGTGCCGCTACCGCCTTGCGGACGCCAGTCTCTACCCCGTCAAGCGGCACAAAGATGGTACAGAGTTATTTCGCTATCTACCAGGTGACTACCTACCTACGCAAGTTTACCATCTTCGAGGAGTCACGGTAAACGTACGTAAAATTATAACGGCTTTCTGCCTGTCTCCCCATTTTCCGAGATAAAAGTTGTTGATTGGACAAACATCCGTGCTGGCCGCTCACCGTTTCATTTACAATCCCTTAACTACTTTGGCGAAAATATTAATAGTTACCGTAGTTCTCTTCAGCATTGCGTGTGCTATAATCCCATCACTGTTACACCACTCTGGTTTCCAAAAAGTCAACTTTGGCGCAGAATGGCAACGTTGTTGTTGCGCCAAAGAGCCCCTAACCAATCAATTATTGTTTTGGCCTAGCCGCACCTTTTAATACCATCTGCTGTACAATACATTTGACATCGGTATTTAAGATAAAATATGAAATACATATTTCGTCAAGTCTTAGGAGTATTGGGGCAGTTACTCTTACTGCAAAGTGCCTTGGGTGGAACACACACTAATACATCATATAAGACAGTCCGCAGACGCTGTACGAGTGCTTCTCCCTTATATAACGCTCCTTTGACATTGGCCATACAAAAACTGTCTTCAGACATGTGTGAAGCACACGTATGTATAAAGCAAACATGTTTCATAGATGCTTGAGGGGTATCTGGAGATAATTCTGTTATCGCGTCTGTAGCGAACACAGAGTACTTTGTACGATATACGAGCCGTTTAACTGTGGCCTCGGAGACCCGGCACTGACTCACTGTGCAGGTTACAGCGAGTGACGCCACATCAGTGCTGCTGAAAAAGCTCAGCCTGGCCAGTGAAGGAACGTACCGATGCGAGGTCTCTTCCGATGCTCCTTCCTTCGCGACCGTTGCAGGCGAACGAGTCCTTAGTGTCAGAGGTAAATTTGTCATAGCTTTTTCGCTAACAAAGTTTGAAACTGCAGCTGCAGGCTAGATGCAGTTTGGCATGAATGACAAAACAACCCACAAAGACAGCCATTCCTTTAAAAGTATTGATTGATTTGAGTAATCAAGTATGTAAATATATACATTCCTCCTGGGCTGTGCAATCTGTACATCCTATGCACATACTATAAACAAGGCACAGCCAAGCAGCGCACAAACGTGCGTACGAACCCGATTCCAATACTTGCGAAGGGCACGCGCCGCAGCTAGCGCCACTGCCTTTGTAGTCGGAAAGATATATATTAGTTTATTTGTAAGCATAATCCCTATTAAAACTTAAATGCGTGGTATATATATACCCTATACAGGTCCTCTATGATGTCATATGCGACACCTGGGGCCCTAAACTTGTCAAACACAAAGTTGGAGCCGAACATTCGCGGAGCGCGCTGATTGGACGCTGGCGACAAAAGCGCGAACTCATCTTCGTGATAGCCAAATCGGTGCGCTCCATGAACTTCGGACCCAACTTTGAGTTTGACGAGTTTGGGGTTCCTGACACTACGATACCGGGACGGTGGCGCAACAGGACGCAAATCGCATCGCATCCACCATGATGCCACGTTACTTAGACGGCCTTATATTCACAAAATTCACTTAATGTGCACTTCAGTAGCTTCCTTACTGCGCCCAGAAAACGAAGAGCGCATTTTGGACGTCTTTGGGAAATGCCAAGAAGGCACCCAACTTTTTAATTTGTAGCGCTGAAAACACGTGGACTTCCATGCTACTTAAAAAAGAAACTATTTTTAATTATCATTATAAATTCGGAGCTAGCTAACTGACAGAGCGCCGGGATCTGTTGGAATGAGAATGGCGGTTTTTTTAGAGCTTCAGCCTCGGGATGCGCGTGTTCATGCCCCAGTGGTCTTTCGCACGCGCAAAAGGAGCACTGGAGCTTGTCGCCAATGCTCCTTCTTTACTGGCATCTATTGAGTCTTTTGACGGCCACAGCAGCTCCCCCCTAGTGACAGGACGGGGGACACGTCGTGTACTACGATGGTGTGGAAGAGGTTCAGTAACAAAGTGCACCCTTTTGGGAGTCGTATTTTTTGTCGGTGCCTTGGTTGTGGCTGCCGTTGGATGCCCTTTACTTGAGTCGTTTGTCTCAGCTTTTGTGGAGGCGTTGGAAGACATAAGGTTACTTGCATTTGTTTCGATTGTGTTGGCCATGTGAGCGGGTTTCAACCTGTCTAGTGATACTGTGTCTTCTTTGCCATTAATTTCAAGCCTGTAATATTTTTATGATCGCGAAATTACTTTAAAAGGACCGGTATACGGAGGTTGTAGTGGCCGCCTTACTGCATCATTTCGGACAAATACGTGGGTTGCCGTTTCCAGATGGGGGCTCACGAACACTTGTGGTTGACGTGGTTTGCGAAAGGAAACGGGCTGAAAGGCCTGCATCGTTGTTTTAAGTCGTGTTACGTAGTTGAGAGGGTCTGGAAACTCCGCCGTCTGGTGAGGTAACTAAAAGGTCCCCTGGCAGACGAAGCGAACATCCGTAGACTAGTTCGGCTACGGTGCAGTCGGTGTCCTCTTTGAGCGTAGTTCGGATTCCTAGAAGAATCATGGGGAGGGCTTCTGTCCAGGATGTGGTGTCTGAAGCCTTCAGTGCTGCTTTTAGTTGCCTATGGAATGTTTCGACTAGTCCATTAGAAGCGGGATGGTATGCTGTCGTTGAAATATGCTTAAAGGGGCTATGAAACAATTTTTGTACTTCGCGCAAATACCGTTAAGAACGGATCCCTGACGTTAATGACCTATGAAACACGCGTTCGTTTTTCACCCCACGTAACAAAAATCCCAGAAAAAAAAAAAAAACGAGGAGCGTTCACCCCCTCAACTCGCAGCCAGAACAAGTTGCCACGTGATCTGGAACCGATTATATGCCGCCAATGTTAATCATGGGCACGCGCTGGGGTTGGCAAAGCACAGGACACGCGCTGAGTTCCAGACATTGTTATCGCTCGGCTATTATCGTCGTTGCAGCGATTGGACACGGGCCACTACCCGAATGCTTCTCGACCTAGTAATTATCACGAGCCCAAGTCGAGTGCCCACGCAGGGCTCGGGTCCAATCTATGAACCGCATTCAAATATCGTCACTTGGGTGTAGTGCGCTCCCCACGTTACGTCATCAAATTTTGCAAAGGAGAGATTGAATGAAAATGATCGCTTTTGTCCTTGAAATTACACCGCAACAAAGGAGTTTCTCGGCCAGCGGAGTTGCGTGCGAGCATCCTTGAGTCCCACTAGTGCCACTAAGCTCGTGTAAAGTGAAAAACATTCCAATTGAATATCGTTGCACTGCTCCTTTAATGCCGAGTAGGTGTGAAATTTCTTCGAATAACCGGCTTTGGAATTGTCGTCCTCTATCCGTTGTTATGGTCGCCGGAACGCCAAATCGACTTATCCAAGTTGACAAAAAGGATTTCGCGACCGTTTCTGCAGACACGTCGAAAATGGGACACACTTCGGGCCAACGTGTGAATCGGTCGATGCAGGTCAACATGTAGCGGTATCCTCTTGACGGCAGGAGGGGACCGACGAGGTCAATGTGTACATGGGAAAATCTTGCATCCGGAGAAAGAAATGTTGAATTTGGGGTAGTGGTATTACGATGAATCTTGGTTTGTTGACACTTTAGACATGTCCGAGCCAAGTGACGAACGTCTGTGTTCATTCGAGGCCACATATATCGCTTTGCAATTAAGCGTTGAGTGGCACGAATGCCAGGGTGTGATAGAGAATGGTACATGTCGAAGATCTTTCGTCTGAATTCGGGGGGTAGATAAGGTTTAGGTGTGCCAGTTGACATGCCGCAAACCAATTTCACTGAAGGTGAATCCAGCTGGACGTCTTCTAGGACAAGGGCAGTTGTTGATGTTCGGAGTTGTTGAAGCTCATTGTCCAGAGTTTGTGACGTGGCCAGTGCAGGATAGTCGATGGAAGGACATGTGGCGCCTGTTGCATTCACAGTCATTCTTGATAGGGCATCTGCAACGACGTTCTTGTGGCCGGAGATGTGTCGAATGTCTGTGGTAAACTCAGAGACAAAGGCAAGGTGCCTGATTTCTCGAAGTGAGTGCGGGGCGCTAGAGGTCATTGCATATATGAGCGGCTTGTGGTCGGTGTAGATAGAAAACTGACGTCCTTCGAGTAGGTACCGGAAGTATTTCACAGAGAGGTAGATGGCGAGCAATTCTGGGCCGAACGTGCTATAACGGGTTTCAGCTGGAGAGAGAGCTTTGGAGAAAAATCCAATCGGGCACCACTTGCCCCCGAGATACTGTTGAAAAACTGCACCAACTGCAGCGTCAGAAGCGTCCACAATTAATGAAGAGGGGGCATCACAGTGTGGATGAGTCAAAAGTACTGCATCAGCAGGCTGCTTTTTTACAATAGTAAACGCGGCAGTTTCTGTGTCATTCCCCACAAGTGGTGCGATTTTGCTCTTAATTCCCGCTAGTAAGGTGTTGAGCGGTTTGAGTGTTGCTGCTGCATTTGGAAGAAATCGACGGTAAAGGTTGAGTAGGCCGAGAAATTCTCGCAACTGCTTCACCGTTGACGGCACGGCGAAGTCATTGATTGCTTGGACTCGAGACTGTAGTGGACGTATTCCATTTCGGTCAAGGTGGTGGCCAAGGACGTCAAGTGCCGGCACGCCAAACTCACATTTTTTCAAGTTGTATGGTAACGCCGTAGTCATCTAATCTTGAAAATATAGTATGAAGATGCTCCTCGTGTTTTGTTGCAGTGTGGCTGAAGACAAGGATGTCGTCTAAGTATGCAAAGCAGAACGAGAGCCCTCTCAAGATATGGTCCACAAAACGTTGAAATGTTTGTGCAGCATTACGGAGGCCGAAAGGCATGCGCAAAATTCAAATAATCCGAAAGGTGTAATAATCGCTGTCTTAGGAATGTCGGACGGTTCCACCGGGATTTGGTGATAGGCCTTAACAAGGTCAATCTTGGAGAATATTGTTGATCCTGCGATGGCACCGGTGAAGTCATAAATATGGGGTACAGGATACCTGCCAGGAATCGTGACCTTGTTAAGGGCTCTATAATCGCCGAAAGGTCTCCAATCACCTGACTTTTGGGTACCATATAAAGTGGAGTAGACCAGTTGCTGGAAGAAGGGCGTACCAGGCCAAGTTCAAGCATATGGTTTAACTCGTTCTTGGCGACCTGGTAACGGTCTGGAGAAAGACGGCGTAGTCGGGAGAACGCGGGAGGACCGGTTGTTTCAATGCAATGAGTTACGGTGTGTTTGACAGGTCGTTCTGTTATAGATGGCCGTGTGAGGGCGCACTCTAAAAAAAAGGGGTATCACCTTACACCCTTTTGTCCCATATAATACACCCCAAAACTTCATTTCGACGTACAGCGCCCTAGAGTCGAACAGACGGCACGAAATTTTACCAGGGGCTTGATAACGGTACAATATAACTTATTAAATTGCTAAAGCACGTATCAAAGACCAAAGAAAGAAAACATGAAGCTTTTGCAGTGCGGCCAAGAAAACTCCGATAATCTTTTTTGTAGTCAATAATACGTACATCCGCTATCTTAATAAGCTGTACCACACGGCTATCAAGCCCCTCGTAAACTTTGGGGCCGCCTGTTCGATTATGCGGCGCTGTACATCGAATTGAAGTTTTGGGGTGTACTACCGGGTGAAACAAGGAGACGGTAGGCTCTTTAAATCGACCGGAAAATTCGGTTTCTTAACCTATCGCGCTACGACTTTGTGCAGCGTTGCCCACAGATGGTGCATTTTTTTCGTAAAATTTGCAAAGAGCGAACTTACCTGAGGAAAAAGTAAAGAAAGAAAAAGGCTTAGCTCCTATGGAAACGCAGCGACGCCACCGGTCTGCAATCAACACGGCGCCGTTTCGCACGGTAGACAAGAGATGGCGCAAGCGGT